TCTTCTTCTTCTTCTTCTTCTTCTTCTTCTTCTTCTTCTTCTTCTTCTTCTTCTTCTTCTTCTTCTTCTTCTTCTTCTTCTTCTTCTTCTTCTTCATCATCATCATCATCATCATCATCATCCCCACCTTTTTATGCTTTATACACATTGGACATGGAAATAAAGAGAGCCTAAATGAATGTCATCTTGCTTAGTTCTTGTGCTTGTGGTCTTGTGCTGAGTCATCTGCCTCTCTAAAAACAATACTCAACCTGGGCCAGACCTATATACTTTCCTTTAGCTAGGCACTTCAACCTGCTGCAGATACCATCATGCAAATGAGGTAAATTGCAGCAGAAATCTGATGTACTGTATGCAATATTTGTTGTGTCAATGTCTGGTAAAACAAGATTTCACTGTAATTCCTTTGGATAACAACCCAGGATTGTTATAATTCCAATTTTATCTAGTTTGGAAAAAAATAATAACTGGGCTATATAGTAGTGTAGTTATGAACTGTTCCCCACTCCTTGCCAACCTCCCTTTTAATTTATAATATCAGCAGTAGATTCTGTGGGAGGGATTCTGTCAGAAGCAGCAGTACGTAGCCTGTGGTTGTGAGCGTAGCCCTCTTCCAGCCCCTCAGCCAATGCATATCTCCTCTGTCTCAAAGCAGAATCTTCCCGGGGGTGTCATGGTCCTACTCATTAAGCAGAATCAGGTTCCCCTCAACTCCTCCTTCTCCAAAAGACTTCAGTTTTTTTGAAACTGAGAGAGATCTTGTATGGAAGGGAAGAAAGTAAGACATGCGTGTTGGGATACAAAGTGAGAGTTGAGACTGTCTGTGCAATACCAGATTTAAGGTTGGAGTCCCCCCCCCCCCCAAAAAAAGCAAGAACAAGAAAAATTGAAGAGCTGTTGTTTGGATAGACACTGGTAAATGGCTAGTTAGAATTGCATTGTTATTCTTTATTTTCTGTGTGCTAGTCAAGGTTGTTATTATTTCTGAAGTTTATTTTATCTATATAAGCTCAGTTATTGCATGTGTGATGCATCCTGGGATATTTAATTAATTCATTAATTAATTTCCATGTATATGGCTGCCCATCTCAAATTCATGGCTGGGCAGCTAACTGTGCTAAAAGAAAATATAAAAATGTAAATTCAGAAAAACAGAAAAACACATATAGAAAGAGCAGCTGGGACAAAAACAGACTCCTCAATCACAAATCAACACAACCAATGTATGGACTCAGCCTCACCTCCTGACCCTAGGCCTAGTGATCTACTGACCCCCAGGCCCTATGTTACAAAATCACCTGTATCATTAGCCAACCCATCCTATCCTGTGATCTACTTAGGTTACATGTTTAGTAGTACTATCTTAACATTTTCAATAATCATTTGTAGATCTACATCTTACCATGTGACAACTAACATTTTTAACGAATCTCTACTAATGTATGCTTCTCCAGTTTCCTTGGTTAGAACATGAAAAAAATAAGACTTTTAAAGAAAGACATGTACAAGCCCTTAAATTTCTGCCAATAGAATTTGTGGAATTTAAGATAGCTTGCTTGCTCCTTATTGAACTCCATGGGAAATAAGCAGAACACAAGTCTGGCATTGTCAGTTCATTGTAGAGATCACCATTCTATCAAGCATGGCAATAAATATATTGGAAAATACTAATTTCTTTGTGAGAGATTATGGCCAAGTTATGTAGGATGAACAAGTTTGAATCATGTGGTATAGAAATCCTTTGCTTAGCCTAAATTTAGGATCTTTCCTTATCATAAGGTTTCTCAAATTTCTTTCTTGTCCTGAGCAGCAATAGTACTTGTACTAAGATAGAGAAATACAGTATCTGTTCCATCTTGTGTTACAATAAAATATTGATGATTATTATAAATTCTATTCTTTGAGAGAACAATCATTCAATTACTATAGAAAAAAATTAAAATACATGCAGAGTTTAATTCTGTTAGATAATTGGTTAAAAGTTTAGACATTCTTTTATAAAAGGTTCTTAAGTAGAAAAATACTGAATGTCTAGATTTATTAAGGTGGGAAAGTAGTTTTAAGCAGAGAAAGTTCCCTTATAAATAACAAGATAATAATTCTGACATTTTCAGTTTGTTAACATGATCATTCAGTAGGATAAATAGTCTAATACAATTAAGAAAGCATAGGGATAAAAATAAAGCTACATCTGATTCCATTGTGTGGAAGCCCAAATTGAGGTGGTTTGATCATACAGAGAATGAATGAAGATCAAGCTGCAAAACAAATAGGAAGAATAAATGGGTTGAGAAAAAGGGAAAGACTGAGAAAGTCATGGTTAGATGGAGTTGATGAAATCCTGAGACTGGGAGAGGTGAATAGTTTAATGAACAAAGGGCAATGTATGAAACAATCGAGGCAATGGAATCAAGAATGGTTTGCAAGGTAGAGACACAGGGAGTACCATGGTCTAAGTGTAGACTAGTATTACCTTTATTTTCTTCATTTAGACCCACTTCAATAATACATACATAAATACATATCCATTGTGCTGTTTGCTTTCCTGGCAAGTAGCATTATGCAGAACACAGAAATGGAGGAAGAAATAACAAGTCAAATTAAAGGCATGAGATAAGAAAAAGTAGTTTTTGAACTCTGATAAGAATCCTGCAGCGGTCAAATGCAGTGAAAAATATGGAGCTGGAGGAGGATCAATTTAAGCATTCAAATCTTATTTTTTTCTTCTTCCCAGTGGAATTGGTACTAGGGCTTCAGATCCCACAAAAAAGACATAAACTCTTTAAGGATTTATAGACAGGTTCTACATTTGTAGTTAGTCCTTTTAATTCTACAGGTCACTTCTCAATTTTTTTGGAAGGTGTTGGAGAGTAAATTTTTAGCGTATGAGTTTGGGTTAAGTTTGTGGCTGTAATAGGTTTCCACAAAGCCAAGGTAGTGGTTAGTTAGATCTGAGGTATTAATTTTCAGAAAGAAATTGGACTCAGGTGCCAATTACTGCCCCTTGGGTGCCAGTAGGAATCGGGAGAGTGCAACAATCTCCCAATCTCACTATCTCTAAACGGAGGAAGGCCTTCACTACAGCCCACTTACATATCCTTCCAAGGCAGATTCCATCAAACTCTAATCAGAATTGTCAAACTACAACCACACAGTATACAGAGAGTGGAGAGCTTCTTATTCTAAAATGCTTAGAACTTTCTGCCATGCTTCTCATTAATCTTCCTGATAGGGTCGAAGAACTTTACTTGTGGTATCTCCTATGTGATGATTAACAAGAAAGGCCAATGACCGCAGCCAAAACGTATGCTGCTGTAGTCATTAAATGATTATGTTGACCTAAGTAACACATGTTCTGAAGTTTAAATTAATGTATGTATGCTGTGTATATATGCTATGTATGTATGGGGGTGCCCAGCAAAACCTCACGACTCTGGGTGGTGAACAGCAAATTAAAATGTCAACAGTTTTCTTGTTTTAAGTAGGAATAGTCCCATTTCATCTGTGACATGATATATATTGTGCTAAATTACCATCAATTCCACAAGAATTTTGCAGTCTGAACTTGTTAGATCAGCATAGTTGTCTTTTTGTATTTCCTGGGTGTTTAGATACAAAGTTTGGTATTTAACACATCAGGGTTTTATCTCTGCTTGGATTCTAAATTGAGCTCCTTCATATATCCTTCTGGATTACTCCTCCTGTTACTTTAAGAAAAGAAAAAAAAGGGTATTTCCCTATAAATACTCATACAGAAGAGTCCTGATAGATTTTAGATG